CCAGTTGCTGATGCCTGATTTCTTGCAAAAGTTTGAAAGTTTTGCGGACGGTCGAACTGAGCTTATATATATGAGATTTCAAGGAAATCTATTGAATATTTTCTTCAAAATGATCAAAAATGTAAAACATGCCCGCTAAAAAGTGTAGTTCCCGAGGCCTGATATATCCCAAAAGTTGACCAATCTATGCCATGGTCGAAATAAACTTGCATATAAAATTTCATCAAAATCGGTTCAGCCGAACTCGATATGCAAAATTTGTTGCCATCACAACCTATGTACCTATTGTATACACAATACGGTCGGTAAAAATAAACATCTGATGTGATCAGCACATAATCTACCGCAAAGTGCGTTGCCAAATTTAGTGAAAGTCTAACAGCACATTATGAAAACTTCCTTTCAATTTTAAGGAAGTAAGCAAGATTTTAGCTAAGATGCTTAGAAAAGCGTAAATTTAGTTCTTAGAAAAATTTTGCTTTATGCCACCCAAATTTCTTGAAAAAAACCAGTTAGTTCCAGTAGTAACATGAACTCAAATATTAAATTTCAAGAAATTCTATCAATCCGATCCACAGATATGGTAAGAAACGTAAAATCAACTTCCCGTTTGGCCTAAAATGTAAAATTGATCCAGTCCCCGAGTTCTAATGTATCCCAAAAGTTGATCAATCCATGTCTAATCAAAATAAAATATATAATACAGAATCACATATAAAATTACTTCTAAACCGGTTCAGCTGAAGTTAAGATACACGGCCCACTACTGTTGATAGACTTTTTTGATAGATTTAATTTTCTAAGAGTAGCAATGTACACCTATTTTTTTATTAACTTTATTAAATTTAATTAATTTAGTTTTTAAATTTAAATAAAACTGAAGTAGTTCTTACATGAGTAAAACATAACAAAAAATAAATCAAATCTTATACTTATCTGATACAAGTCAATATTATCACGTATTTATGAAATAGATCACATTCAGATTTATAAAAAATAAAAATAATTTGATGGGAAGGATGAATTTGATGGTTTGATAATAAATTATAAATGTTTGTCATTAATTTAGTGATATTCAACCCCACATTTTCATTTCGTACACTCGCATTTTCACTTGATAGACTATGTATAAGATCTTTAAGGATTCCTGGGTCTTTATAAGCCTCTTTGGAAATCACTAATGCATTCAATGAGGTCGGTAAAAATTATTTTGAAAAACTACCATACAAACGAATCTATACTTTTTTATACAATCTTTTAAGAAGTCATAACCAAAGCATAAAAACAAAAATCGCTATGGGAATGCAAATTGTAACCAACAGTTTTATAGATCGACTGACTGTTGTAATTAAGTTTTTGCGGGTGGTTTCGCTAAGGGTAATGAGTGTTAGCTTTCCCGTTTGCCTACGTAATTAATCCCTCCAGCCCCCGACTAAGTTGAAATTTCGTCTAAAGTTATTTTGCTATCCTGTCATCCTAAATTTGAGAAAAAACTTATGTATATTGGATATTTCTTTTAAAGAGAACAGACGAAAATAAATAAATTATATAAAACTAAAAAAAAATTTTATGCAAGAGTGTCAATTTACCCTGAATATCTAACCGAGTTATTTCTAAACTAAAAAGGCGTGATAAGATCTGGAAATTTGTAAAACGTAGGCCTGATTCGTGTGAAAATTTATTATATAAAAAATTATGTAAAAATACTAAGGTTGATGTAAGTGAATGTAAGCTCCATATATTTTGCCAATAAATTTAAGAGTTCTAGTAGTAATAGAAAAAATCTAATGTGGTCGGCACATAACAGATCGTATATATGTACATAAAGTATATTGTCTAGATTAACATATCTAGATTTAATGCCAAACGTTGATCAATGCACCAAAAGTTGATAGTGCCGAAATGGTCGTGATCGAAATAAACTTATGTTTAAAATTTCACCTCAACTCACTCGAACTTGAGAAGCACGCTTGTACACACAGACAGACAGACCGACAGGTTGCTAAAAATACTTTATTTACACTTCAATACCATAGAAAAGTGTGTTCCCACGGAAAACTCGATATGCAAACTTTGTTGTCATCACATCACCTACCTTATTGTTTACTCAAGTCAATACAATGCGGTCGATAAAAAGGAGTGACAACTGGTTGACTGTATGTTAAAGAGAACTTCATCTGTAGTTGATATACAACTTAAAGTAAATGGAGTTTTGTCTTTTTAAACCACGTATTATTGCTGAATATTTTAATAATTTTTTTTGCCAATTCTCCTTCTATTGATGAATTATCTGTTAGAGATTATCCCAGTCAACGTGATTGCTTTTTTTTAAATCAGTTTCTTCTCTTGAAATCCATATAATTATAATACGTTTGCATAACTTTTATTCGGAAACGGATTGGCATCTAGTAATGCGCTTAAAAGAATTTAGTACTTAATATGTAGCTGATGTGTTGTTTTATATTTTTTATTTAATTATAACTAAAGATAAAAAAAATCAATATACAATTTTCCTATATGTATGATATTCGATATTAAAAAACTAAGAAAAATAAACAATAAATATCACTAACCTTAAATATTTAATACAAAAGGGAAAGCTACGGTAGATAAGTCACCTAGCTAAAAACTCTATGACGCAGTGAAACTGAGACATGACTATCTGACTAAAAAACTGGTATTTTTCCTGAGAATATGAAAGTTGCAGTGGCGGTTACACTTTTCAAAAAGTATAACGTTTTTGAGCCTACAAATTATAGACCTAGTTCTCTACTGTCTTCTTTTGCCACAATTTTAGAGAAAATTGTTAAAGTCAGAATGCTTAAATTTTTTAATAGAACAGTCTTTTTTTGTTACTGTCATTTTAGGTTTTTGGGAGAGAAATCAATTGAGTATGCTTTACTTAGGTTCTGTAGAGAAATTTATGAGGTTTAAAACAATAACTATCTTGTTTCATGTTTTTTGCGGATATTTTTAAGACCTTTGACCTGGTTGATCATATACTATTGCTTGATAAATTGTTCAGGGCTGGATTTAGGGGCTTTAGCCTTCATGGACTTAAATGTTACTTATTAAACAGAATACAAAAGGTAAGGATTAAAAATATTTGTATTAAATCGTTGATAGTTAACAGAGTTTTGTCCTGGGCCAATCTTATTTTTATTTTCATTAATTCACTTTTCATTCAACCTTTTAAGGGAAATCCTACGGCTTTTGCAGATAATATGTCTCTTTCTTACACTTGCTCAACCCGTTTTGAACTAGTCGTTGACATGAATGATGTTTTGAAGATGTAAACTTACTATTGGCCCGAAAACTAACTACCTATGCATATGTATTTTAGCATAAGGAATTCTGCGAGACATGATCTATCTTGTCCTTTTCCACTCTAAGGTAGAATATGGAATTTCATGTTCGGGTCATATTTACCGCAACAAAGTACACGGTATTTTGCTCCTGCAGAAACACGCAAACAAAATTGTTACTAAAAGTGAACATACATTTGTAAAAGAAGAAACAGGAAATTCCTTTTTCAAAAATGCAATGACCCACAAGGAGCGGGTGTTAATTAACAGCAAGGAACATTATTTAGGGAATGTAAGAAACAGACTAAGATATAAAACAAAACGGCAGTGAAAGAGACAGCTCAGACAGGTGAAAATTCCTGAGAAAAGGATGCTGAAAAAATACTGTAATACTGTAAAAAGGATGCTAAAAAAATGGAATGTCCGCAGAGATAAACTTATGTTTCATATGGGAAGGTTAATTCGAATATGTAAGAAATCCACACTGATAAAAGTTTTATCTTAATTAGATATTTTTTATAATTAGAATAGACGCAAACTACATCCGAAATCACGACAACCACATTTTATAGCTAATTTTGAAATTAATATTTTTCCTACCAGTTTCTTTTTATTTTGAATATAATTCAAGACAATTTTAGAAATATATTTCCAAATAAGCAATACTTGAGCCACTTATGAAAATAAATTATGTAGTTAGAATAAAAAATATTTCTGAATGGGCCACAATAATGTCGTTTTTAAATATAAAAGTGTATCTCAAAGTGTACACTTTATTTCATATTTTAATATTACCTTATATATATTTTCGAATTAATGTAGAAAGTAATACAAAAGTAGCTCTTTACAATATTTATAAATACTTTTTTGAGACTATTAGTATGTACTTGGGAGCTGCACTTCATTTACATTTTTATATATTACAAGTTTATGACATATGTATGTACATATACGTATATTTACTATTTAGAAAAACCTGTGAAAACTATTTTATTCCTAATATTTACATATACGTGTATGTATGTACGTATTGGTATATTGCAACAAGTTTAGCATAATTTCCATGCTTCATTAAGAATAAATAAGTTCTCGTTTGCTATTGTTTTTATTTGAATATCGATAAGCTTGTGTTCATCAAAACATTTTTTATTCAGCTACAATCTATTTTGAAAAGAGTTATTATTATATCTTTATTACAACATTTATAATATATCAAAATTGGTTTTTTTACGAATTTGCTATGCATTATATCTCTTATAGCTTTATTTCATCCATATCCATGAAATAATTATAGCGCGTTTGATTATATGAAGCATTGAAATATGTTTATATCATATATGTAAAGATAAAAATTATTTCTACTTTGAGTAAAAATATTACGAGTTATGGAATATTTTATTTTCAAAGCAGAAATATGACCTTCGTAATGTTTTATAGCCTCATTAGGTATGCGTTTTTTTTCTGTGTATATAAAAAACGGCATATGAAAGGAATATTGATTACGTACATGTTTTTGAAAAAGAGTACTTTAGTTTCCATTTACTTTCCTTTTTGGATTCATGGTCAAGTAATATTTTGTGACGTTCTTCTAATGTATTAAAGATAAAAATATAAATATAGAGAAGCATAAATTATTATAAATACTATGTATAAAATTACAACTAATATAAATAATTTTAAATCTGGATGATTTATTTTGAAGTTATCTTTTTATTGAATTTTTTATTGAATTACAGTTAATTGAATTTTTGCCGTTATTTTAAGCCCAAGTGGAGCAATATTCCATTTAGGTCAGTTTGAAAATAACCATCTACTTAATATCATTTTCATACAAGTCTTTTAAAATATTACAACTATTGATTTTCAAAATGTATTGATCCTTGTGTTAAATAATTCTGCCAACTTTATTTCAAAATCTAGTGTTGTCCGGCATTTTGACAAAGTAAGCTACTTTTTCCGTTGGAACTTTGTAACTATGGATCCATCGACTGCCTTTCCTAAGACTTCCGTCTATTCCATCCTTCCACACACCTTGAGGTAGATATACTGCAAAAAAATACTTCGCATAAATTTTGGTATGTATTCAAAATATGTATTCGAAATATGTTTTTTTCAAAAACGCTAAATATCTCACTAAAGCCCGTTATTTTTGCTCGATGCGCTGCATCTACTTTTAAAATTTTTCGATACATAACTTTTCTAACTAAATATTTTCCAAACACAACGCTTCAACAGCATCAAAGCTATCACCCTCCCCATCCTCAACAATACGATTATTTTCCAAGATTTCGTAATATCATAGGATGTACGTTTTCTTTTTATTTGAATGACATTTCTTGGAAAAGTTCTTCAAAACTTTTTTGGACACTTAATTTCGTAAACAAAATTAAGAATAAAAAAAGTTGAAAAATACACTCTGTTCTCATCTTTGAATATAACTTTATTTCGTATGCATTAATAACCATTCACAAATTATATTAGTTTGCGGATATAATTTAGTTTTGTAAAAATTTCAAATAACAATATTATAACGCTATTTATTACGAATGAATAATATCTAAAGCCTTCTACTGCTTAGCAGGCTTGTTCAATTTGTGAACAAAAACTGTATACACATTATACGATACAATTTTATAACATAATACATATAAGCATTGAGACATTTTTTCGTTTCCTCTTTGTCATGTTTTTTTCTTCATTTTCTCTTTGTGGACGTTATTTCTGTTTATCACAAATCTGGCCACAATTTTCTGGCCAGATTCGCACTAAATTCAAATAATATGATTGAAGATATTAAAACAAAATCAAGATATTGGTGCGTATATCACCCTACGTAAACAATTATTATATGTACATAGCTACTTCTCAGGTGTCAAAAAGTACGGGTACTTCTAGAAAGGCTAGAGATAATAATAAAGGCATGGGATAAAAGGCATTAGATAGGGTTTTGCCTTTAGGGTCCTAGAAAAAGCATTAATTCCACCTACCCTTCCTCTTCATCCCCTCCCAAGATGCTTTGTGACCGTTTTTTACAAAATGGTACTACATCCTGTAGCGGGAAATTTTTTATTTATTTTGGTGGTATAAATATTGTATGTAAGTTCATATTTGGAAGTGTGAGTTATAACAAAAAGTGAACACTTTCTTAAGAAAATTGTAAAGATTTAATAAAATCTACATTGTTTTATAATAAGTATGTGCGTACGCGTTTAGTTATGTATTTTTTTCGCGATCTGCTGCAAAATGTATTAGTAAGCAAAACATAAGTGTACATTAAATTTCTTGACAATATATTTTTAGGACAAAATTTTATAAGAAAATGTTATTCTATTGCATTAAACTTCTTAAAAATAGGGTATTTTCAAAAAAATATTAAGAACGGAAACTCGCTGATATTGATTTGTTAGGGTAAAGGTTTTTTAATTTTATTTTAAATAAAAACAAAACAAAATAAAATTATCAATAAAAAAAAGTTTATCTGACAAATTTTTTTAAACAAATCGCATTTTACAGGGTCCGAACCTGAGACTTTTTGCATAGAAATCGTATGTCATACGCATTACCTACGAGTATATACGTTAGTTTTAGTGTTAACTGATTACACATTCACGCATTTTATTCGCCTGTAAATCCAAATACATATGCGCATGAATTTTAGTAGCGAATTATTTTTTGCGTAAGCAGTAATTGATCGCTTAAAGTGCTTATTGTCAAAAGTATTTTACAATTTTATGCAACATAACTCAAAGCGAGGTTCTGAAATAAATTACTCAAAAGATATTAGATCTCAAAGCAACTAATTATTTGCTTAATTATGTACTCTTTCGTAATTAGTTTAAGAGCTTTTTTTATTTTAAGTTTTATCTTATAAAATATTAGGAAAAAACATATCTATATGTATATTACGGGTGTGTTTTTGAAGAAAGAAAAGTGAACTTAAAATATCTCACACACAGAATGGAACACAATTTCAAAACTACAGGCATAATACTTGCAAAACTTGCAATGCAAGCACACACGACTAGTTATATATATATATAGTTACTTCTCAGGTGTCAAAAAATACGGGTACTTCTAGAGGGGGTAGACCCATGGGACAAAAGACATTAGATAGGGTTTTGCCTCCAGGGTCCCAGAAAAATCTGACATTGGAACTTTTTAGCCCCGAAATAGCTCTATTTTAAGATTTTCTGAAAAAATTTTTGTGTAACAAAAGCACGTTTTTCTTTTGTACTTTTTATAATTAGAAACACAAACCAAGAAATAAATGATACGTTTTACGTTATTATTAGAAAGAAATAAATAATATTTGAAAATATCTCACATATTTTTAGTTCGAAAAATCGAAATAAGCTTAACGTATATAAATGTTCAGCTTTTATCAAAGACATCAGATGTTTTGCGGCATCTGAATATTAATGCTTCATTTGTTATTGTTTTGAATATTATGTTTCGTCAGCAAGCTTTAAAAACATATGCATGCACAATTTATGTATGTATATACTTAAAATTTTATTTTTATTGTTCAAGCGAAAAACTGTAAAATGTTAAATTCTAATACATTTCCCTATTCTAATACACTTTTCCCTACTAATATATTTGCTTGTGTGAAATTTAAATACCATAGCTTTTATAGTTTCTGAGATATGGCCAAACAACTTTTAAAGATGTATGGCAGGTACCAGAAGGCGCCAAGTAATTTCAACGACTTTTATCAGGCACAGTAGCCCAACTAATATATTCACTTGTGTGAGTGAATTGAATTAATACCACAGCTTTAATAATTTCTGAGATAAAGCCAAATAAATTTTGAAGTTGTATGGCAGCTATTCGAACCGGTACAAATGGTAAGACAAATTTAGCATACCCTTCGAACATACGTTCGTGCGGGTATTAAAAATAGGTATACATTCATAATTATGTATGTTGGTACTTAAAATTTTATTTCTAATCTTTCCACCAAAAAATTTCAAAATGTTCAATTCTAATCCATTAATACGAGTATATACATGCGTTCATATGTTGGAACGAAAAATTTTAAAATGTTCAATTCGAATACGTTCATATGTGCATACATAACATACATTTGGACAAAAATATTATTTTATTTATGCCTTAACCTTTTCTTTATTTGAAAAATTTTTTTCTGTATGTTTACCCCCTTGATTTAATAATTATGTGTTTAAAATTTATTTCCATATGCACAGTTTTGAATATGATTCAATTATTGCCTAGTTATGTGTAAGATAATATTGCGTATCTAAGTGAAAATATTACGGAATATTATAAAAATGGCTGTTAAATACTTCTTTACAATTTTTATGGCATTAGTAAGTTTATAGTTAACATACCTAGAAAAATGTAAATTTTTCAATTCCCTGAAATGCTTGCCAGTTAGTTTCTGTAACAACCAGAACTCAAATATCAAATTTCAAAAAATTCCATCAATCCGTTCCGTAGATGTTGTAAAAAATGTAAAATCCAAAAAAATTTATATGCTCATTGCTTTAACACGAAAAATTTAAACATTAAATTTGAATGACATCGGTGGATTATTTCTCTTTATATACGCAAAAATGTATATTTGGCCCGTAGTAAACGTTCAGATACTGACTCCTGATATCTTTCAAAAGTTAGGTGGTTTCACGGACGGTCGAGCGATCTTATATATGAAATTTCAAGTAAATCTCCTGAATATTTTTTTCATAATGATTAAAAATGTAAAACTGGCCCGCCACAAATAGCAATTCTCGAGGTCTGATATATCCCAAAAGTTGATGAATCAGTGCCATAGTCGAAATAAACTTACATATAAAATTTCATGAAAATCGGTTCATGACAGTCCGCGAGGTTGCTAAAAATAGTTTTTTTACACTTCCCTACCATGGAGAAGTGCGTTTCCACCGAAAACTTGATATGCAAAATCTGTTACCATCATGTAACCTACCTATTGTAATCACAATAAGTAAAAAGTAAAATAGATTTACTCCGTTCTCATCTTTCAGAATAAATTTACTTCATATGCTTGCATATGTATAAATCATTCACGAATTATATTGATTTGCTGATTTTATTTAGTTTGGAGAAAACTTCAAATATCATTAAAATAACAATAATATTAATATATGTATGTATATTAAGTTAAAAATGAATAATATGTAACGCCATTTGCTGCGTAAGCGTAGCAGACTTATTCAATTAGGGAGCAAAACATGTGTACGCTTTATACGATACAATTTTACGAATACGATATGTATAACATAGTTATTATGTGTAAGATGAGAATTAAGAAAACTTTTTTGTTACATTATTCTTTTTATCATAAATCTGGCTATAATTAGTGTATTATACATACATATATATATCAGATAGAAACTTCTGAGATGAGGAAAAGAACGGATACTTTTTCCGACAAAAGGTATTGCACTAGAGTTTTTCGAGTGAGGTCCCAGAATATGCAAGAACTCTACCACCCGCCACTCCCAAGTTGGTTTTGAAAATTTTTTTACAAAACGGCACTACATCTTGCAGGGGTCTTCCCTGTTTTTGATACTATGCTCTATAGTAATCAATTTCTAGAAGTGCGAGTTAAAATACGCTGTTCAAAATTCTTTTTCTTTAGAAGAAAGTTGTTCGAGGTATGAAAATAATATTATCTAATGAAATTAGATAATATGTATTACGGATCTAATAATTTTTTTAGCCGATTTAGCAACTATTGGTTGCACTATTTTTAGTAAAGTTATTCACTAAAAGAACTTTTTTTTAAATTTCTTAACTTTCTTAGATCGAACCTAGAGTTTTCGGATACCAATCTGATATTCTGCACGGTTTATGATAATCTTTTAAGATCAACATTTTTTTACCGATTTATCGCATTGTGTATACAATTAGTAGGTTATGTGAGCTTATTATAGCCACTTCTGGACATCGAAAAGGAGGTATAAGTCCTTTTTACTAGTTCCCAAATTAATTGGCGTGTCCAGTTATTTCAACAGAATTCGGATTATCCACACCATGTTAAATCTGAATCAGATCTATTTTAG